GGGTGGAGACTACCATGCAGAGTCTGTTCCTTCCACGCCCTCACCTGTGCCACCCTCAACTCCCCTGCTCTCAGCTCACTCTAAGACAGGCAGCCGAGACTGCAGCACCCAAACTGAACGGGGAATGGAACCAAACAAAACTGCAGCTGTTGCCACAATCTCTGTTCCTGTTCCAGTTGCTGCTGCTGCCACTGCAGCTTCCATCACTGCCAATGCTGCCACCAACACTGCCACCTCTGCCACCAACACCAACACCATGGTAGCTGCTGCTCCAGTTGCTGTCGCCGCTGCTGCTCCAGCTGCCACTGCTGTCACTGCTCTTGCTGCTGTGGTTTCTCCAGCTACTGCTGCTCAGATTACAGATGCTGCCTCTGCTGTTGCTGCTACTGTTGCTCCTCCTCCTCCTCCTCCTCCTGCTGCTGCTGCTGCTGCTGCAGTTGTTCAGGTTGCTCCAGGTACTACAGCTCCAGTTCTAGCTCCGGCTCCAATAGCGGCTCAGGCTTCTACTCCAGCTCAGACTCAGACACCAACTCTAGCTCCAGCTTTGGCTGCTACTCCAGCTCCAGCTCCAACTCCAGCTTTGGCTCCTGCTGAGTCTCTTGCAACTCCGGCAGCCACTCCTGGACCACGTCGTTTGTCTACACCAAGTCTGACCTGTAATTCAGATAAGACAGGTAATAATTCTCTGTACCAGTAGCTTTTTGTTCTGCCCTCAATTACAAATTGTTTATCCGTGCCTGCTACTTGGGCACAGTTGGTCATTGGAGGGAGGATTTTTATATTCTAAAGGGGATTAATCAGAATAGATAAGGGCAGAGAGTTTGTAAACAACTTCTACACCAGGATGGGAATGTGGAGGAGTCAAAGCCATTCTTCTAGTAAAAGTAAATAAATCCTCTGGTGAACAAGGTGGGGTAGCTGCAACAAGTTTCAGTTAGCCATTGACTTCATAGGGGCTCTAAAGTTATCTATTTCTAGAAATTTGCATTTTTTCCTTGTCTCTATGTCTTCTAACTCCTTATTTCTATTTAGATGGTCTTGCTTTCCACTCCAATACTCTGGAAAGAAAAGCTGCCATTCAGATCTTGGGACAAGAGCCTGATGCAGAGATGGTGGAATATCTCATCTAAACAGCTTAATCAAGAGCTGCAGTTTATCAGCAAGAATGCTTTTAATCATTTTTCCCTTTTGTTGTTCTTATTTTGAGAGTGAGGACAAGGGTTGGGGGAATGTTTTTTAAAGGGACTTTTTATTGAAACAATATAGTACTTAAGTAATAACATTAACTCCAGTCTATTTTGGTACACTTAAAGAGTACCTCTAAAGACAGATTAGTCAGAATGTGCTCGGAAGGTTATTATATGGATTTATGCAAATACTAGGACTGTTAACAACAGCTGGATATATGTCAGTGTTTTTACTGTGCTTAAATTTGTGTAGCATTTCCATATTCCAGATCATTTTTTTATTGAAGAGCACACTGCATTTGGAAGACAGCATGTAACATGTAGTTCAGAAATGGAAAGTCAGAGAGAATTTGCTCATGTGCTGTTGTGTAGAGTTCCATTCTAGGCAGCATCCAGAGAGAGAACTCTTGCCTCAGGCTCACAAAACGGAATAGTTTTAGGAGCCATGTAAGCCAGAGGAAAGGTAGAGAATATTGGAGTGTGGAAGGATGCTGGAGCTAATTTTTCTTCCCAATTTTCCAGCTATCCTGTGCCAGGAGATTGCGTTTATCTTAATTTCAATGGTGCTTTGGAAGTGGATTTTTTCGTTCCCTCATGGAGGTTTACACACACACACACACACACACACACACACACACACACACACACACACACCTATATTCTGGAGTAATTTCTGCATTTGGATAATTACTATATTGCTTTCAGATGCTAGGAGAGAAACTTCCTTTCTCTCAGGGAGTTAGAACATCAGAGGCCTTGATGGAAAGTTGCATGAGGTACTGTGTGCAGACCTTTGTGATCTGTGACTAGCTATGAACAGCCATTCCTGAGACCAATCAGCTTAGTGTCTATTTCTTCTCTACCACAAATTCACTGACTATGTCACCAGTTTTAAATTGCCAATCATTTTCAAAGTGAGGAAACGTATTTGGTGATGTGTTGAACTCCTTGGATTTCTGGTGACTACTTTGAAATAACTCTTTATTTTCCCAAATTCTTAGCCTATGTCATAAAAGGCATATTTGACTATCACCTCCAAGGGAATAGCATTAGAAGCCCAAAGTACTATGCTGCATTTAGGGGAGAGGTGGTCTGCAGCAGTGTCCTCAGCTACCTCTTCTTATGGCTAGTGAATTCATCTTGGAATACTTTAGAGAATAGCAGGAAATGTGCATGTGGGCAGGGATCAAGGAGGCCATGGCTCCAAACTGCCTAAGGGCTGCCTCTAGGGACACAGAAAGGCTGCCTATTGCCACAGGTCCCTGCACTATGTTACTTCTCTGCCCTTCATTAAGGTGACAGATCCACAGACAGTGTCACTATCAGTTTCAAGGGTATGGGGGGAGGTGAGGGGAGTGGGGATATTAGATAAGGGTGGGAGGGTAGAGGCTTGGAGATGTATTAGTTAGAAACCAGATTAATAGAAGAGTAGGCCTGATTTGTTACATTATGAGATATAGTGGCTAGAAGGAACTTTAGCAATACTATAGCTCTACTCCCTCATTTTAGTGATGAGGAATCTGAGACCTGGAGAGGTTAAGTGACTTTTTCAAGAGCACTCAACACAGCTTTCCACTCTGCCAAATACCATGATTATTTTGAGATACCCTTATATAGAAAAAGCCCCATTTTAAGAAAAGATATCTTCATAGTCCAGAGCTTATGTATTTTATAAAATGTCTCTGGATTGAGTAGTTTGTCCAGGGTTATGAATTCCTATTTTCCCTTTCCTGCAGTGCCTTTTGCAAGGTTTTCCTTTTCTGATCCTAAGAGTTACATAAAACATCCCCCCCTAAGAAATCAACCTCAATTCTTCTCTTGCTATGATATTGGTTGTCTTGGATAATCCTACAGGGTTCCTCTATGAGTATAGGAATGGCCTATTTAACAGTATTCTTGTTTCATTCCTAATTATCTTCCAAAGGAATTGTTTTATGTATGAGTAGGGAAGAGACAAGAGGGAAGGTGATATGATTTTCAGCCAGCCTGACATTTTCAATAGTGAAATGATCATCTTACACATTAGTCCTCAGTTATCAAGTGAATACCAAATAGAAATTAAAAGTGCAGTTGTGTTACTACCCATTCATACTACCCTTTAGTCATAAGGAAAAGAAAGTCAAATAGTAGAAGCAGCAGTAGTAAAGTAGTAAACTTTAGGACTCCTACTTTCTATCCAAATAAATAAATAAAAACAAAAATTTTATTTACCCCTTTCATGGTTATAACACATTGCCAGAATTTTTGCTAGCTCTGGGAGCCATGATTTTAATCACATTCTGTAAGGTGACAAATGTCATGCATTCCACCCTGTGTGTCAGCCATCTCTTGTGTATTTGGGAGAAAGGGGAAAATTCTTGGCTAAGTACTATTTTGAACTTTCTGCAACATCTCTGACCCCTCACACTAGAAACAGTCCCTTTTGGCTCAGTTTTTAATCCCAGGTAATTAGTTAAAATAATATTGTACATCTAAGAGATGGAAGAAGTCCATGCCAGTGTATTATGTTTACAAAGAAGATAGATTAAGCCTTTTTGGAAGATCTCTAATAAGTGTCATTTTTAAAATTCAGGATTATGAGACAAATCTCAAGTTAGACACCTTTTTACAAATGCGTGGATGTAACATTTGGGGGATCTTTCTGGACTCCCACTTACCTATGCATTTTACTAGCACCTCAGAACAGGAGGGTAACCTTGTTGTCTTAACTTGTACTGCCTAGTGGTCTCTGGGGGACCTTCTAAGTCAATTGTATCCCAATGTTCCATGTACAGAAAAACTTCATTAGAACAATATTTACTTGGTATAAAATTCTTATTAATAATTTTTTATTAAATAAAAGTAGCTTGAGCTTTCTTTTAAAATCATGTATCTTATTATTGTTTTAATGAAGGATTTATTTTCAGTGCTGCTTTTGAGCTTTAGGATGGCAGGATAGCAGAAGCCTGAAATACCTGTCATCATCTGCTATAGGTAACATACTAAGAGACCCATCACTTTCGTTTTAGTTTGTTACACAGTTGGGTGGATACAACAATTGGAAAATGAATAAACTTATTGTGTAAACTACTTTTTATGAAGAGCCTAAATACTAATAATGTGGCAGCTTAAAGTGTATATCTATGCACTAAGTTTTATAAATTATATTCTCTTGTCCTTTAGCCATACAATTTCCTGTTATATCTCAGTTACTCATTCACATATGTAATGTGCTACTTAAAATGTGTGCATTCTTACTGAACATGTTTTCAAAGGAAGGCATCAGCTATGGGCTAATTGCCACCAATTTCAGCCCGCCATGATCCTTGGAAATAAATTTTCTAAGTGCCATCCATCATCAGTAGGACAAGTGTCCGGGAGTTTATTATTTTTCTGGTAGCAGTGATAGGTTACCTGAAACCATCAAACCTCCTTCTGGCCTCCCTTGTTATTAATGGCATGTGTTTGTAAAGTGGATAGCTTTAGTTGGCAGATGGCTAGAGAACAATCACCTTTGATTTGAAATATATTGCCCCCATTATGATTAAGACCCCATTCTGTAATCAACTGAGCTAGTTCCAATAAAGTTAAGCAGGTTTGAATCCACTCTGTGCCTATTTTTTCACTGACAATAAAGTTAGCTATTTTAAAATGCAGTACTGTGTGGAAAATACCTTGGTATTTACCCAACAGATGCTTTATTGGTGCTGTATCTGTGATTACTTTCAGTTCAGTGTGCAGTGAAATCAGCTTTCAAGGGCAGCATGCAGCAGAATTTGCATTTGCTTAAGGTATGGAATATGATTATAAAGTATTAAAATAAAACCATTGGTTTCATGCTCTAATTGGTTCCTTTATAGATTCAGGCAGCACGTGTGAAAAACTTTGCATATTTTTATCTCCTGGTTCCAAGGGATAAAACAATGGCCACCAGAAGTAGAGAATTCTTCATTTTGTTAGCATTTTGGAAAGTCCCTTGATGTTCTTTTTGTACTCTTGTTCTTATGCCAATTCATCAGTTTTGGTTGAGGGAGCTTATTGAAAGCAAATCAAAACCACAAACAAGTTGGCTCTTTTCACTGAAAACGTTAAAGCTGCCTTTACACTACCTTTCCTGTGTCTCCTGTTTACCACTGAGCCCCAACCTTACTAAGAGGATAAAACACCCACAGGCTTGGAAATGACACTTTTCACAATGGAACTGGCTTGATGGGTGTTACAAAATAAATGGGATGAGTGTATAAAATTCATTCTAAATTTTATTTTTTAAAAATTAAATTGGGCTACAGTCCTTCCATACTTATGATGAGTACTTTGGAAACTGTATGTGTGAAAAACCCACTCCTCTTTTTCAAGACAATGAAAATGATATTAAGTTAACCATACTTTCTTACAAAGTTTTGTGAGGCATTTCTTTCAGAAATATAGTCATTTATGAGGAGAATAAGCAAGTGTTCCTTTAAATCATAAGAGCCTTTCTAGATATTATCCAGTATTATAACTGATCTGATTACCTGTGTAGTATGTCATCTTCCTTTCTATGAGCTTCCCTTCTACTGTAATACATAATTTGCACAGTCTATGAGTTACACAGTTGCAGAAACAAATGCATCCTGGTTTCCACCTTCTCCACTTCCATCATATCCTGCAGGAAGGTTTTCATTGGAGGAAACAAGTATAAATGATTTTGTCTTAGAACACTTTCAACATTTATTGGCAATCACTCTGGTATTTGAGTGAAGATCCCTGAGCAACAGGTTTTAGTTTCCAAAAAGAAAAATGTTCTCCACAATGCCAGAATTTCATACCATATAACAGAGTACTTATTCAGATGCACAAACTGGCCAAGCCCAGGGTACTTATTTTGGCTCCTATGTTTTTTCATTTGCCTGTTGCCTCAATCAATGGTTTCAGGCATGTGTGAGTTGTTGAATAACCACATATTAGATGTTGCCTTTAAGTTGAAAAAGAATACAGTTCATAATTCTAGTTTATGAAAGAAAGCTACACACACATATGCACATACACACATTTATAATTTATTGTGATATATGACATGAAAAAAATTTGAACAAGATACAGAACTAATGTAAAGAAGAGAATAATTGTTAGGATGGCAGAGAATATGTGTGGAGAGACTAAGTTGAGCTTTGAAGGATGTGTAGACGTTAATTTGGTGAACTAGGGGAAGAGAAAGAACATTCCATGCAGAAGGAATAGGGTGTACAAAAGCAATCTCATTTTGTCAGACCCCAGATCAAATGAAAACTATGTTTCCAAGATCAAAGGCCCCAGAGAACTACCCTGAATTTTAACAACCACTTAATGGAAACTTACAAATTCACTCAATTAGGTGGCAGAACTTATTGGTCCAGAAGTCAAAGAACATGCAGTAGTCCTAAATCAGCAACTAAGCAAATGTTTACTAGTGGACAAGTCCCTTAACAAGATCAGAGAGGTTTATCAGTAAAATGGGGGTAAATATCTATCCCTGTAGACCTATTGGAGAGGGGATAAGAGAGCTTCACAAAGTAAGAATATAAAAAGGTGCCAATCAACGCAATGAGCTAAATCTATAAAAATGAAATGGTTTCTTAAACTTTTGATTAAAGAAAAATCCAAACATAAATGAAAACAGGCAGAATATTGTAATGCATCTCCATGTGTTCATTGCTGGGCTTCAACAATTATAAACTTATCAACACATAGTAAATCTTGCTTTATTTATTGCTTCTACCTATCTACCCTATATTATTTTGAAGCACATCCCGGACATCGTAGCATTTCATCAATAAATATTTCAGTATGCTTACAGATGAAACTTTTACTAATGAAAAATTTAAAGTGCTATTCCCAGAACCAAAATACGTAACTTACCAACCAAACAAAATGGTAGCGCATTTGTGCTTTGGTACTTACAAAGCTTCTTGTTTTGATTCCACAACTCCTGCTCTAAACTGAAACCTGTCTCAAAATGAAAGGATTCATTCTCCCACAATGCACATATCAAAGGGGAAAATACTTTCTTTAGTGGTTCCCCAATGCAAATTCTAAGCTATTATTCTTCCTCCGTGTGTATAAAAATCTCCAGCTCCTTTAAAGTCCCTGTCATCCAGCTGTTCCTTGTTTCTCCTCATCTGCTGATTTGGTCACTATCCCAAGTTTCTGGCCTCTGGATCACCGTTGTCCCTTCCAGGCCCAAATGACCCAAGCAGCATCCTAGCCTATCAAGTTTGTTGCCCTCTCCAACTCCACTGACCACATCCACTCGACTTCAGCCTACTGTGCTCATGGCTAACACAGACCTGACCATCATGCAGAACTGCTCTACCATGGAAATCACATACACCACTACCTTACTCTCTGGCCACCATCTCCCATCCTCTCAGTTCTCCTACTCTGATTTTGTCTGCCCTTTGACTTCTGAGAGACCTCAAGTCTCTGCATGCCCTGCATTTCCTTCTAGGCTTTTAGCCTTGAACTACTTGAACTGGACCACATGCTCAAGTACCTAAACCTTCAAATCATTTGTATTCTTTGAAACCTCAACCATTCATCACAAGTCAGAAATTCATGAATCATCTTTGACACTCACCTCTCCCTGATAGCTGACATCTAATCCATCACTGATCCTAACAAAATAAATCGCAAAACCCATTTACTACTTTCCAACTCTACTGTCCACAACCTACTTTAAGCTAACATCTTTCATCTAGAATATTTCAATAGCACATTCACTGGTCTACCTCTAACTTGTTTGACTCATTTATTATATTTATCCAGGAATGAATATTTATACAGAAACAAATATAATTCATATGCCATTTCCCTGCTTTAAAATTTTCAAAAGCTTCCCATTGCAATGTGAATAAAATGGGGACACAAGAGGTAAAATAACTAATCCAAGTTTTGTAGCTGTGGATTTGAAACTAAAATCTAGATATCTTGGACTCTTGTTCCAGTAGAATCATTATCATACCTTATTTTGAGTATTTCTTTTTCTTGCTTACAAGACATTACTGCTATGGCATCATTGTTTTCTCTGATATTAACCTAGAAGTACTTCTTGAAGTCCTCTCCAAACCATCTGCATTGAAAACACCTCAGGTATTTATTCAATGTGCACTCTCTTGCTTTGTACCTAGAGAAGCTTCCTGTAGTTCTAGTGTAAGACCCAAGAATTTGCATTCTAACAAGTTTCCCAGGAGTTTTTGATGAAGCTCATCCTGAGACTACATACTTTGAGAAACACTAACCAAGGATTTCCTGGCATTTATCTTGCTTCTCTTCTCCTCTTCAATTCCCCTGCTACATGACGGACTCCCAACTGCACATAGTTAAATGAGTAAGTCCAGGTTGGACTTTAGCTATCATACACACCCTTATTTCAGTAGATAAACATTTTATTTTCTTCATTATCCCTTAATATCTATGGTGAAATAACTACCTATTCTCTCTAGATTTGACACTTAAGTGGTTGGATTTACTGCTGTGATCGAACAAGACATGTTTTTGTTTACTTTTGTTATTGGTTTACATGGTTTATAGTCCTCGAGACAACCATGACCACATTTATGATCTTGGCCAGCTCATTTAGCACCAACGACCTTTCTGTAATATGAGGTCACTGGATTATGATCTCTAACGTCCCTTTGGCTCTTAAATTCCTTGATTCCATGAGACTAAATACTATCTCTAAGGTCAGAAATTCTTTCACATGGATCTAAAATTGGCTATGCAGCATAGATAAAAGACATTTTAAAACCCAAATATACTGCAAATACTCTACAGGCCTAAGATCTATTCTTCAAGCTTCAATTTTTATCCCATTGGTTCTGCCCACACTTGAAATTTTATTCTCCTGTCTTAGCTATACCTACTCCATTTTCCTACTATGCATATCATTTTCCAAAAAAAAAAAAAAAAGACATGTCCACAAGAGTAAATTTTCCCCCCAAAAATATGAGGAGATCAAAACAAAGGGAAGGTAGGGTAGTTAATATTTCTTTTTAAGACATGAGTTTATGGTAATTTGCATTTATCCAGTTGTAGGTGACTGGGTGGCACAAACGAGAGAGAGAGTAAAAGAGAAATAAGACATGTGTCATGTTGCAGTAGATGGCCAAGAGAAGGATGGCAGTCACTGAGCCACCATGATACCCATGGGACTAAGCAGAGCTAGAAAAAGGGGAAAGGGAAATATTTCTCAATAGGCGTTAGAAACTAGTTGTGTGACAAATACATATTATTCCCAATAACCAAATTTAAAAGATCCAAAAACAGCAAAGCATATATTTTTTTTAAATTATTTTTTTCCTTTTATACCAAGGGGCAGATTCACATCTCATGACCCTTGAAGTCTTGACAATTTGGAAGGCCTCCCTTATGAAAAAAGATTTCTAAAAATTATGAATACACAATCAGATGTTAAAGTATTTATTTGGAATGAGAGATTGCAACAAATTACAAATTTTAAAAAGTTGACGAATATCATAAACATGACCAAAAAAAAAAAGAGACAATAATTTTTATTAATTAACTATCCAACATACCTCCAAAATACTAGTTTTCTACACTTCATATTTTTTGTTTGCTTCTTTGTATGACTATGGTTTTATAATACTTTATGTTGAGAAAATAGGAAGGTAATTTAGAT